GTCACCTGTAATATGGTCCCTCCCTAACCGCTTCGTATTTGTAGACAAATAAATTACTTTTAGCGCGCTGAACAGCGTCAGCGAGCAGGCGCACGGGATATCCTGGAGAATCTATCCCCGTCTCTTCCGCCATCTTGGAACTACCGCCCCGCCACCTATAGGGCGTTGGAGTTGCGAATTGGCCCAGTCAGGAAAGTGCATGGTAGACGATATGGCCAAAGCGAAGGAGGAGGTGTGAGAAAACAGGAGGGAGAGAACCTAGCAGTAGTACACGCATGACCAAATTATCTGTTAAAGGGACGAAGCCAGAACCTCGGCAGACGGATAGAGTTGAGGTTACGTAAGCTGAGGGAGGTCTCTGAGATAGTGCCTGTGCAAATATCCACCATCCCAGAGGTTTGGGGACAGTATTTGCAGATAGAGAAGCGGGTGGTGCTAGCTAACCGGGTGACAAGGGCGTTGAGCCGACGATTTGAGTACGGAGTAATGAAAGTTAATAGGGTGGCGCACGAGGCGCGCTCCAACTCTTTTACATGCGGCATCCACTACAGTGGAACCACTGGTAGCACGGTAGGCGATGGAATTGGACATCACATCGTACATTTTCGGGGGAAGGGGGGGGGGGGGGGGGGACCGGCAGCTCTGAGGGCGCCGGTATAATTGAGGGCTGGAATACAGATCCAGGGGAGAAGGTTTGGGAGGGTGGGAGGAAGCCTCGCAGGAATGGAAAAAAGAAACAAAATAACATAGGGTTCATAAACATGCAGGGAGGCAGGAACAAAATAAACTGGGAGGAGATCGAGGAGCAATTAGAAAGCGAAAACTTTGCAGTGTATGGATCAGCAGAAACACATCTGAGGGATATGGAAGAACCATTATACATACAAGGACATCACTGGATGGGATGCAACCGGGCCAATGAAAAACGCAAGGGACGGAAATCAGGGGTATTAGTAAAGGGTCAGGAATGGGAAAGAAAACGAGAGGGCTGCAGGGGACACATGTGGATCAAAGGCAACATTGGGGGTTCAGAAACAATCCTGGGTTTGTGTACCTAAAAACAGGGAGTGATTCAGGGGAGGAAAATGCAGAGCACTTAACATGTGTATCAGGAGACGCTAGGAAAATCGGCACTGAAAGGGAAATGATTATCTTAGGGCACATGAATGCAAACTTGGAAGACTTTGATTAACATACGGATACAACAGGGAGGATGTTAAAGGAGTTCTGCGAAGTTATTGATCTGGTATTGGTTAACGCTCAGGTAAAATGTGATGGAAGAATAACGTGGGAAAGGAAAAACTCGCACTCGACTATTGACTACTGCTTAATGTCGCGGTAGCTATACGACATATTATGAGGTATGGAAATAGATGAGGAAGGCACAAAAATTCTGGGGAGTGACCACAAGAAAATCAGCATCAAATTTGGCACAGTACGACCAGAAAAGCGAAATCAAAAACAAGCGCGTAGAAATAACTTAAGTGAAAAAATATTACAGGAGGTATCTAAGCGAATCGAGAATATAGCATCCAAGCAACCACAAAGAAAATGGATATATGAAGACTTAGTGTTTTCAAAGAAAGAGCTGGAGGAAAATGAAATCAAACAAGAAGGAAGGAAACGGAAACGCAAGCTCAAAAGCTTGTGGGATAAGAAGATTAAGGCAGCAGTATCGAAACGCCAAGCGGCATCTAGAGAACACAGAGGGGCAAAAGAAAGGGGGCCACACCAGCTGAAGTAGCATCGAAATGGGAGGACTTTCAGGAAAGAAAGACAGCGGGAGGCATCACCATTAATACAGGCCATAATTTGGAGGACAGGGGTCCAGTGCATGATAGCGATAAACCAGAAGGATAGGAATGCGGCGAAAAGCTTCTGGGAACACATCAGGGCACAGTAAAAAAAGACTGAGGGGTACCAGCAGACACTAACAAAAGAGGAAGGGACAAAGCTAGACGGGGAAGAGGCAAGAGAATGCATTAGACATACAACCGAGGCAGCATTTTCGGAGTTAGAACCAGATCAGGTCGTAGGGAATGGTAGCGTCTACACAAAACAAGAGGAGATCCATGCTGAAGAAGAGGAAATGACCACAAGGGAATGGGAAAAAACAGAAGGAAAGGTTGCGGTTGGAACTGCGACAGGTCCAGGCGGCATACTAGTGAGACTGATAAAAGTTCTGGGTAAAACAAGCAAATTGAAACTAAGGCAGGTGATTGACCAGATACTTATGGGAGGGGAGGTACCCAGTGACTGGAAATTGAGCAGGATGAGATTATTATATAAGGGTAGGGGAAACAAAGACAGTATCAAATCATACCGACCAATCGCAGCAACTTCAGTAATATACAGACTAGCTATGCAAACTGTAAAAAGAAGACTGGAAGAATAGGCAAGGAGAAAGCAGATTCTTGGGGAACTTCAAAACGGTTTCAGGGGGGATAGACCGACTGGACGATAACTTATTCGTAATCACTCAGTACGTAGAGATAGCAAGGACAAGTCAAAGGCCACTAAGGTTAGCATTTTCGGACATCAAAGGTGCATATTATAATGTGAATCATGAAAGACTCTGGGACCAAGTGAAGGGAAATGGGCTAGAGAAAACCATCGTTGAGTTTCTGGAACGGGTTTATACGGATAATAGGGTGATTATAACATGGGAAGTCGAAACTACAAGACCAGCAGCAATAAAAAGAGGAATGAGACAGGATTTAGCACTGTCTCCCCTATTTTTTATGATATACCTCAGTGAGTTGGAAAAAATATTAGAGCAGTGCAACCTAGGTTTTGGCCTGACTTACATGGAGGAAGGGGTTAAAGTAAATAAATTATTGTCAGGGTTAATGTATGCAGACGATATTGTACTCATATCAGAAAGTGGTGAGATAATACAGGAACTGATTAGGATTTGCAGCAGGGAAGGGGACAGTTTAGGCCTAAAAGTCAGTAGGGACAAGTCGGGTATAATATCTTTCAACGACGAAAAGGGGGAACCCTTAGAGATGAAGGACACAGTTGATAGAACACATAGAAAATACAAATATCTAGGAGTATGGTTAAATGAGGGAAGAAAGTATCAAAAAGACCATGGAGATATTGTAATAAAGAAAAGGAAACGAGATTCAGCTATTATGAAACATGGGGCACTATGAATATATAATAGATATGAACTCGTTAGGGGTGTATGGAAGGGAGTCATGGTGCCAGGACTGGTCATTTGGGAATGCGACATTGTGTATGAGGTCAGAAATCCAGGCAGGTTTAAAGCTACAAAAGGTAGTGTGGGTAGGTTGGCATTGGGAGCACATGGGAATACACCTAATGAGAGAGAGCAGGTGGATATGGGTTGGGCATCTTTTCAGAGTAGAGAAGCGATCAGTAAAGTAAAATTCGAACAAAGACCAGCTGAAATTGTGTTTACACGGTGGGCAGCGAAGGTGTACAAGTATATATATATATGAAAAGTCTAAAAAGTAAGCGGACGAACCGAACCCGCAAGCTGAGATCTAAATACCTTCAATGAGATGGCACGAGAAAATTGTTGTGTGTATGTTTATACAGCCGGAAGTTAGTCTGCCTCAGTGGGCATCTGGTGGCTCAGCTGTAGATGAGCAATTTAGCCAGTGCATTACAACCGCTAGCCTGGGGTCTTTAACGTGCACCACGCAGTAGTGGTACACGACCGCACGCCGGTACGATGCTGATCCAGATCGAAACGGGCAGGGGCGGGGATTGAGCCCAGGATCCTGGGTTCTGCAGCGCGAGATTTTGCTTCACGTGCTACGAGCTGGTGTGCGCTAGACCACTCGGCCACCGATCCCCCTTAATGAGATGGGGCCGGTCAGAGCATGTAAGTAGAAAAGGGAGTAAAGGAAACAGAGAGGGTATTGTGGGAAGAGAGAATGCTGGGGAAATCAGCTTTAACAATATACAGAGCACAAAAACAAGAAATAAGGAAAGAACAGTTGTATGATAATTCATTGGGGAGCTCATCGCAGTTTGGAGCTAGAACGGGGGTGCAAAGAGTGAAAACATATAGGGCTAAATACCAAGAAATCGACACTATACCCGACATATGTAACCGCGGAAGGGAAACTATAGAACATGGAATTTTAAGGTGCACAGGGCTTCGTCCCACCTTCTTGGGAGAAACGACTTCGGATTTGGAGGGGACACTGGGGGATTTGCAGACATGGATGGACGGATGGATAGGGAAAGAGTTGCGGTAACTAAGAGGAGATTGGAAGATTGGTGTAAAAGATCTAGAGAGGGGTAAGATAAAAATAAGCAATGGAAACGCTTTAAAAGGGGGGGGGGGGCAGGGTTGTGTTAGAACAAATTTTATACAAATTTTAAAATAGGGGGATGACGAAATGTTACGCTAAGTGCGCACGCTGCCGCCCGTTACAAAGGGTGTAGCCATTACCATCCATCCATCTATACGTTTCTTCGCTCCAGTCGTTCGAGCAGCTTGATTTATGTGTGGCATATATCTTGGTGATACAATATTTAAATATTTAAAATACTGAATGCCCTTTGGAGATGTCTCAGGACAAAGGAGTGTGTGTGTGTGTTTAGGTTATTATTGGGAAATGAGGATTTAGTATTTTCCAGTTATTTCTTAAGCTGGGGTCACACTGCTTCTACATCATGCAAAATACAATCTGCAAGCACGGGTCACCTTAAAATCTCTGGTTCGAATGCCGCCTGCCAAGCTTCTCCTTGAACTCATTTCCATGCGGCATTCGAACCACGGATCTCGCGGTGACTGGAGTTCGAATCTTTATGCAGACTGTCTATTGTATGATGTATAAGAAGTGTGACCCACGTTTTAGGAATTAGGTGCCGATAGTTCTGTCTAAGCAACATAATGCAGACATTTGCTCCGGTACACTAATGTCAAAATTATCCCACCAAGGTTGCCTGTCAACGAAGAGCTGCTGCTCGGACTAATTTAAGGCCGTCAGTGTTTTCGCGATGAAAATTTTCAAAGGTTAAGTGCGGCATTCGTTATACTTACTCTGGCAAGATCCATTTTGGCAAACCAAGTTGAAGTAGCAATCGCCGATGTTTTTGCAGGGTGTCCCTGGAGAATGATGTAGTAATTAATGCATTAATAGGTCAGGAGAGGTCACCCTACGATTAGTCACGTCTGAGTAGAGTCCTTCTAAACTGGAAAAGTAGCGACAAAGTTCGATCACGGCGCCGAGCTCGGCGGTAGGCCGGTGTATGACACGTGTCCTTCTTTAGCGCTCTACCCCTTTGGCCGCCATTAAGATTCAAGGAGGTTTTGCCGTGTATCCTCGTTGGCTGCGCCAGCTACACGGGGTTTCCTTGACGCCGATCAGATCCGGACTAGTTTGATGACTTTTGTTTCTTTTATTTTACTCCATCTTTCATGGAGTAAAATAAAAACTCCAACAAATGTTACTTTCATGTAACATTTGTCGTTTGTTTTTTGCTACATTAATATTTGAATCACTTGTATATTTTCAGTGTTATATATATATATATATATATATATATATATATATATATATATATATATATATATGGGTGGTTTCATCTCAAATCGTGCAGGCAAAAAGGGTCGAATTTTTAATTTCGATGAAAAAAATATATGTTATGGCGCCGTTTTTAAAAACGCAGTCGCCGCAGACCGCAAGTTCGTCGGATTTTTTGTTCGCGACTTATGAATTTTTTAAGAGGCCGCGGCGAAAAGCAGTGTTTTTCACACCCGTCGTGGGTCGGATGTTTCGCTTGATCTCCCGCCGTGGATTTTCAGTCCACATTATATTATCTTTTTTAAAGCACTCTGTGGACACATTTAAAAGGCTCCAATACCATAAAATAATTTTAGGCGTTTTGCTTTTTTTCTGTAAAAATGTCAAAAACGCCCCCTCGGTCAATTGTTGACGAACTTTGACAATTAATTACTGGCGATCTACTTGGGTTACATCAATACTTTTATGTCCACGGAGAGCCCAAAACACGTTCTTTATATGTATTATAAAATGACTTGGCTGTATAAAATATTCTTTGCGGTACGTTTACGTTAATGTTATGTGAAAACCAAAAAGTACCATTTTTGAAACTGATTTTCTCAAAAAACCCATTTTTTATTTTTTTTATTTTTCGTTAAAATGTAGATGTGATAGTTTTCTACGCGAAAATCAGGTCTAGAAAGTGTATATTTTGTTTGTATGTTTTATATTTAGGCCTCAATATCTAAAAAAAAACGTCTTTGTTTTGCAAGACCCAAGTCAGACATTCCGACCCATGCGTCTCTATGAATTGTGAAAAAGGTTTCTTGAATTTTCTTCTGCATTTTGTAATCAATTATAAACGAATTTTGTGGTATTGAATATTTATGTATGTTTTGATAAGAGCGGGAACCACGAGATACATATCTAACCAAATCAGCAGGCCTAGTAGACTTTGAGTAACCAAAAGGCACAGACGTTGTATTGTTTCGATTTATAAACCTTTCACAGTAAACTAGCTCGACTAGCTATAAGCTGTCATATCACTAAGACAAAGAAAGTCACCACATCGTCGATATATTATATACAATTCTCTACGAAACCAAACACTGGGGCTTGTTCACCGCACATCGCACAGGTCACCAGGGAATGTCCTTTCACTTCCGTAATACACAAAAGTGGTGACACAGAAACGGTCCGAAACACACAGAGAGTGTGTCATGGGGAGGGGTAGGAAATAAAAATAAATAAATAGGAATTAAATTGCCCAACTGCGATCTTAACGAATATTGCGTTAAAAAAATAAAGTATTTGGGTTGGAGTGGTGGCAAGACGATAGGTCCACGCCTGGTGGAGAGTCAGACAAAGAAGTCGACGGCACGTAAAGGTAAAACAAAAAAAAAGAAATCAATAATTTAATAAAGACGGGAAAACTCAGCCGCACATGGCAAGAAGATAAACCAACTCCTCCGGGCATTCCCTAAATGGGACGCAACCAAATGCGTGCGAACACGCTCTCTACATCACCACCTAGGCCGCTACGCCATGACAAAATAAAGCCAACAACTGAACAGTGCTAACAAACAGTTAGTAAGAAAACATTGAAAAAAAAAAAAAAAAACGTTCAAAAACGCACCCGAGAAACTAAGTTCAGCGGGGCGAAGAAACACACACGAGTCGGTCCCACGACACTGAAGTCTGGCAGGATGACGGCGTCCAGATGATGCTCGAATCTGTTTTTCCCTCTGTTACGCACATCCACGACGGCTGTGAGGAACAGTGGCTGTGCGAAAGAAAGTGAAGAATAGATTCGAGCAGGCGATGCGCGAGAAGGTTACCGAGACTATGCCTGAAGCTTCATATCGGGAGAGGAGCTTTCGAGGTAGTTTCTGCAGTTACTCAAACTTTCTCTTTCCCCATCCCTTTTTCAAAAGAGCACGTCAGCCGGCGCTGACTTTTCATCTCGGGAGAAGCCCACTCTTCACAAACGGTTATAGTTGACAAGGAGGCTGACTTCGACCCAACTAGTCTCCGGGCAAAATACAAACACAAGTATATTTACCAACACGCTCGTTTTAATGTCAGTCTCCGGACTTTGCTGTTTCCAAAAGAGATAGCCCTTTATAAGGACAGAATGAGCGGGTTGGTGGGGATAATTAAACTTAAACAGCCCCTTCTCGTTTTCTTCCTCAAGTTTAATAGATAACACTTCGGTGCTATCGGATCTCCCCGGAGAGAGAGAGACAGCACGGCCGTTTCAAGGTAAGGATAGGGCGCTCGAAGCTGGGGCAAACAGGCGGTATCGTTTCACGCATGCACGGATGGCTGGTTTCAAATTTCCCCACATCCCTAACGAAACCGGCCCATCTTCGTGGGTGCGGCTGTGGGATTTCTGTCCCGCGCCGCCGGTTTTAGCGCGCACGCGGCGTTGTTTTGGCTGGCAGAACAGTTGTTGACCGTCGATATTGTAAGGCCATGGTGTCCTCATCCTTTCAGGCAACGATTCCTTTGCTTTCCCTTGTGCAATACTCTGACTGACTCCTCCTGGGTGGCTGTCACTGTTCGCCGCATCAACGACTTAATCGTACCATTTCACTCCTCGTGACACAGGGTGCGCTGCTCGCTTTACTGTCACGGGCCGTCCCATCTAACACAACGAGCGCGAAAGGTCGTGGTCATCTGCTGGCTCCGAAGGGGCGGGACGTTCATGCAGGCCAATGAGGGCCCCGAATCAATACGACGTCTGCCGACTCCTACACGTTAAAAATTTACGACACCTGCTGGTCTGTTAAGAAGTGTTGCTTTCTCTTTTTGGAACTCCTCCCAATGTAGCTTGCCGCCTATAATAAAATTTAAATAATTAATAAATATAACAGGGTGGAAATACTGTATTTCATTTTTATGTGGGAACGTTGAAAAAAATAAAAAAAACTATTTCCAAGCTTGTGAAGACGCGCAATTCGTAAGTCCATTTCGTGCCGTAAAAACATGTTTTTGTACGATATTGATGCTTAAATATAAAACATACAAACAAAATATACACTTTCTAGACTTGATTTTCGCATAGAAAACTATCACATCTACATTTTAACAAAAAATAAAAAAAATAAAAAATGGGTTTTTTGAGAAAATCAATTTCAAAAATGGTACTTTTTGGTTTTCACATAACATTAACGTAAACGTACCGCAAAGAATATTTTATACAGCCAAGTTCTTTTATAGTAAATATAAAGAACGTGTTTTGGGCTCTCCGTGCACATAAAAAGTATTGATGTAACCCAAGTAGATCGCCAGTAATTAATTGTCAAAGTTCGTCAACAATTGACCAAGGGGGCGTTTTTGACATTTTTACAGAAAAAAAGCAAAACGCCTAAAATTATTTTATGGTATTCGAGCCTTTTAAATGTGTCCACAGAGTGCTTTAAAAAAGATAATATAATGTGGACTGAAAATCCACGGCGGGAGGTCAAGCGAAACATCCGACCCACGACGGGTGTGAAAAACACTGCTTTTCGCCGCGGCCTCTTTAAAAATTCATAAGTCGCGAACAAAAAATCCGACGAACTTGCGGTCTGCGGCGACTGCGTTTTTAAAAACGGCGCCATAACATATATTTTTTTCATCGAAATTAAAAATTCGACCCTTTTTGCCTGCACGATTTGAGATGAAACCACCCATATATATATTATTGTTGCATACATATATTGCGTCTAGCATGAGGTCTTTCAATAATTAATTTTGAATACTTCATCTGTTTTTAAAACTGGCTAGTGCGAGCCCCTTTGTAATTCATTTTTATGCATTGTCAGTTAAAATTCTGTAGTGTGATGCCTTTCAATAACATTTCGTTTATTGTTTCTAATATTGTAAACATTTTATCTCAGCATATGTAAAAGTGCTTACCACATTAAGTGCTCTCTCGGCTACGATAGTTCGTGTCACTTTGAAAACAAACGCTTGCCACATATTTTAGTTTTAAGGGTTGGCTACTTTTTTCTCTGCGAAAGGAACAAATAAAGTTTGTTCCAGTCCAATTCTTAAGGCTTAACTTTAGGCAGCAAGCAACGTAACCGTTATGCACTTTGTATATATCAGTGTACATGACTCCATAAATTGCAATCCACACTTTTCACTGGATGTATGCTGTTCCCTATGCTGTTCCATATTCTAGTGAATATATTCAGTTTAGTGAACTTTCAGTTAAGTGAACTAGTTCCTTGTGTCCCTTGAAGTTCGGTCAAGTGAAGTTTTAAAGTGGTAAGCTTCCGCTGGCCAGTAACGCTGGCGGCGGCAGCAGCAATGTTCGTCGGCAAACTGGCTTCCGAGCTAATTTGCCGACCGGCGTCGTCTGCTAAGGTTGTAGCGGTACGTTGCAACTTTTTTTTCTCGGCACTTTAAAATTATTCTTTTTTTTTTTTTTTGCAATGTCTGATTTGAACGACCTTCCACACCCACAAAACGTTTTCCTTTCAAAACAGTTTTCGTACGGGCGGACAAAAAAAAGTCACACGGGACGGGTTCCGGTCATGCCATCCTTCAACAAAAATAGTTGCACTGACAGGAAAGTGTCTGCTGATGCATTGTCGTGATGACACCACCACTCCCCCTTTTCCCAGATGTTGGGTCATTTCTGCCTCACTGAGTTGCGCAAGTGTCGCAAAACTCCCACGTTAAATACTTGGTTAACAATTTTACCAGCAGGAACATTTTCTCGATGTTTTCATCAGTGGAGCAGGTTGAGAGATGCCATCAACGACGTTGGTCGTCGATCAATAATTGACCCATCTTGAAGCGAGAGAGTCATTCCTAGACGTATGATTTCTTAATAGCCAACTTCTTTGTAAGCTATTTAAGGCATTACAGAGGTTTCCACCACCGTTCTAGCCTTCTCTTAAAAAAACAAAATAAAAATCAAAAAGCAGAATTTCATGATACTGCACAAAAAAAAACGAGAACTGATTTTGGAACAGTTGTGGAAAAAATTCACAACCCTCTCGAATTTTAGCAGATGATGCAAGTCTATAATCTGACTCGGAAGAAATGCCAATAAGCGCTGCTAGCGGAGGAAGCTCGTAAAACTAACCTTCAAGAAATTCATTCCGGTTGCTCTTGGGTCCCCGCAATCCCAAATAAATCCGTTGTCTTCATACGCGACGGTGAAAAGGTTGTCATTTAGTTAACTGGAAAATAGAGTGCTCTACTGTGCGCTACTCCTTGTCACCTCCACTTCGCACAATTTATGCTTCGGGCAACATTCCAGTCAACCGATTTAAACTATTACCACGGATTACATACACAAAACTAACGTTGAAAAAGTACGAAAACTCTCTCACAACTAGGTATCAGTATACCCATTTTGAATACAGGTGAAGATTACTGATCTCTCGATTGTAGCAAATATTAAAATGAAAATAAATTTTTTCACGGGGTACTTACCTATATTGCGATTTATTTCGTCTTCTTCCACATTTCCTTCACAAACATTCGGGTAATAAAAAAGAAATCAATGTATTACTTCTATTGCTCACTGCAGTAGAAGTATTATGCTGGTATTACCGCGGGTTGCTTTTATGTATCTTTCTTCAGCACAATGAACTAAATATGCGCTGTGAGGTGTCATCTAGTAAGGCATGCCAGACGTGACCACATTTAATGCAATGCTTTTTAACAGAATTGCGCATTCCAAAAGTTTTTGTCCAGCTTCCCGTCCGTCAGTGCGTGTTCCGCTAAATTTAGCGTGCAAGCTAACGTCGCGTGGCCTGCATCAAATCAGTTTCCACGCTAAGTTTTAAATCTTTGTCACGATGCCCATTATCTCGATGCTCACCGACCGAGCAGGATGTTGACGTCATCCCCTATTTCGAACATCGCCAGCATTTTGAGTGGGAGGGAAGGAGCCATTGCAATAAAAAGACAGTTTGCGCCAGGGGGAAACCAGGCACGACACAATTTTGTAACCCAACGCCGTGAGTTGAGGTGCTATTTGACGGGAAAGCCCTGCAGCATCCGCTTTGAGTCCGGCCGATAGCAACTTAATGCCCTGTCATACGTTTTAACGCCCGAATTAGGGCCGATAGCTCTATTTCAGGAATTGCTATCGAGTCTACATGCCACGTGATAAGCCAGTCGCTACACCAATCGATGAAGAGCGCCGAAAGCGTAGACGCCACAGGTTTTATGTGGAACACAATTGCCCAGCAGTTTGCTATGCATATTTTTCAGACAATTCACGCCACAAACAAAGTATAACAGCACCACCAAAGTTCTGCACAGGGTTGCGTGCTTTGCGGACATCGGTGGTAGTCACATGAGTGTAAAAAATGGTTAATACAACCCCGTTTTCTTACTTTAAGTTACGTTACTTTTGCAATACGAGAGCTTACATCTACTTACGACGACAGTCGCCAAGAGATCTGTACTTCGTACAAAGCATGGCAACTAGTTTAAGGAGCAGCATTACACGCGACGTTCGGAGCACGAATATCGTCGTGATTCATAACGTAACAAAAGAAAGCGTAAGCAGACGTGGATTTGTGAACCAGCCTTTAGACCGCAAGACAATCCATGATGGCAGCGAGTATTAACCTAACGTTCAAGTCCACCGCACACTTGAACACTTTAAATACTATATGCACGGAAGGCAGTGACGTTTACATCTTTTCGTCAAGGCCCCGCACTTTGGCGATTGAGTCCAGAAAACAAGTTAACTTATAAATTCGGGAGACTGTTTACCGAGGAGTGGGGATCAAAGAAGCATCACCGGTTAATGAGGTATTCTGCTGGCGACGTAGCATCTCACTCATGGCACCAATGTTACATATTTGCTTATATTTTACATGGCTTCCATCCAGTTCAGAACACACTTATTTTGCCGAAGGAGAAGTGTCGTAGTCGTTGAAGCTAGTCATTGTTTACAGGAGGGAGGGGAAATAGTGGATGAGAGTTATGAACAGTGTAGAAGCTGTGCCGACTACATGCAACTAATCAGGGAATACAATCTTCTCTTCCGGTGTTCGGGACTGTCGACAAAAAGGATCCAACCATTCAGGCATCTTGGTCTCATATACGACAATAGCGACTCCTGAACAACGTTTTGTTCTTATTCACGACTGAAAAAAATTCGAAAGAAGTTATCTTGTGTGCCCGTGGGTAAAAGGAATTTCTCACATATTTCGGCTAGTGGGTAATATTGTTCGTTTTCTTTTTTCTTAAACTTGCCTTTTCTGGCCGGTGTCATGCCCATTTGGGAGCAGTCTCTGCAGACACACCCTTTCCCATCAACTGTACGACGTCGAGGGAAGTGAGTGCTCGTCACGTTTGAGTTGGTCATAAAGACCACTCTTTGCGTTCTTTTGCCTTATCTTGAACAGGATCAGTCTATTTTATTACGTGTTCTCCTTCGATAGGGCGAGGTTAGCCCGCCCCCCCCCCCCCCCCCCCCCTTCCCCCCGACCCCAGTGTAGGGGTGCCTGTAGCAGTTCCCGTGCGGCTGTATGCGCCACGCAGTTCCCTGGACAATTTCGTGCTCAGGAATTCATGTGATTTTAATTCAACGGGTTTTCGGCTTGGAGTTGTTTGGCTGATGTCTTGAATTTTTTTACTTTCAAGCTACAGCTGTCGTGTTTGTTACCTTCTTAGAGAGCTTTTTTTCTGTCTTTTATATATGTATAGTCCACGCTTTTGTTTGCCAAATTCGAAAGCTTTGATTGTCATCTTGAAGTCGAATTTGGGGGTTTTACGTGCCAAACCAACGGCGGGCATGTGGCACGCCTCAGCGGAGGACTGAGGATTAATTTCGACCACCTGGGGATCTTTTGACGTGCAACCGAAAGCTCGGTTACACGGCGTCTTCTCCGCAATAAGCCTCCGTCATATTGTGGGCACCTCGGCCGGGATGGATTGTCATCTTAATAGCTTGAAATTCAGCTTTCTTTACGCTGGTCTCGTTGCGTAGAGTAAACGCAAAGTTTCCGTGAATATTGGCACTTTAGTATGTAATGGCTGTCCCGCTTTGTCTACGGTAGCGACCGTGCAGACAGACAGTCGCGCTCTCGTTGTCTTCGAGTAGTGCTAATATCTAGTCAAGCTTCTTACTGGGAGCACGCTTCCTTGCCCTCCTTGCACTCTTTTTTTTTGTGTTTTGCAGAGTATCAACCACAAATTTGTCCTGCCTTGGTGAGTGTAAATCCGTAATATCCGGGTAGCTTTTTTTTTTTTTTTTTGGAGTTAGTTTTTTTAAGGATCTCCATTTTCGGTTTGGTTTTCTTGAGCATCTGCACATGGGTTGTCTTGTTATATTTCACGATCTCCTGTATGCTGTTGAGGCCTGTTGTTTCGTAGGGTGTTTTGACTTGGGTATGCTTTTGAAGTCCGGTAATGATACTCATGCTTCTTTGTTAAGATTCTATTCCATACTTCAGTGTTTTTTTTTTTTTGCTTTTGAATTAAGGAGGGGTTTCGACTGCTCTTTTGATGGTGTCAACTTGGGTCCCCCCGCTGTTCCCGGTGGTACGTTTACTGAGATTGACCACATCTTTCCGTTGGATTTTGATTTGAGCGTACCAACTTGCCGACTTCCCGTTGTCGTCAATAAGGATAGCAAGAATTTTGAGAAAGTGGTGTTGATACATCTCTGTGTCATTGACGAAAAGTTGAAACATTCCTCCCAAGTTCTTTTTTTGCCCTCTATTGTCGAAAATGGCAATGCAATTTGTTTTTTCAGGTGAGAGTTGGAGCACCGTTTGTTCGAAAAAAAAAAAAAAGATATATGTCAGTAAGGTCTTCTTGCAGCGTGGCGCTCTGTTTAGACGCTTCCGCTCTTCGTCCAGATTGCAATGTCGTCAACGTAAATCGTGTACTCCGATTCTCGGATTTGCTCAAGCGATTGTGCGAGACCCCCCATCGCCATAATGAAAAGTGTAGACGAGTTCACGTTTCTCGCAAGACTTTGATCTTTTCGTCCGTGTTCGGTCCTTGAATTTGTCCGATAGCCGTTTTGATTTCATTTCATTCAAAGAGGAGCGAATCAACTTTAAAAGTTTTTCCCCTTCGTTCCTCTCTTCACTGCGCCGCGTATGACCGTGTCGTAGGAACGAAACCATAGGCGTTCTTGATTTCGATTGTTACGATCCGAAGACAATTGTAACGGGATTGTTGGAAGGTTACGTGTTCGTGAATGATCGCCAAACTGCCCTGCGTTAAGAGACTCGGCCCCGAGGCCGTCTGTCTGGCGTTGTACTGTATATACGCATGTAATGGCCGCACTCGTGTACTAGCCGTCCCCCAGCTTTAAACAAAAAAACCCCAAAAAATATATTTCAAGGTTACCCGTTTATATGCCGCACCTGCGATTTGAGAATGGCTGGAAGCGCCATCTAGTTTGTAGCGTAAGTGCTGCCGGCAGATGCTGACCACCCGGTCAGCATCTGCCGGGCGAAAGTTTGGTGTCGACGATAAATGTGTATGCCGGTGGTGCTTCCAAGAAGATTGAACTAAGGAAAACCAAGAGAACAAAGCACGCTTTCCGATGTAAGCAGCGTCAGTTTCCCGAAGTTGAAGATTTGATCCTTCAATTCGTAAACGGCTAAACGGTGTCGACGGAAATGCTACGCATGAAAGCGCTCGACACTGCATGGAGCAAGGCGATACCGGCGACCTTGCTCGAAGGTGAAAAGGGAAAAGAACTTTGCACGCCTGTCTATGCAATACCGAAAAACGTTTTCTTGTTCTACCAATGCGTACTTCCATTTAATGAAGGCAAGTAGTGAAACTTTTGGCGAAAGAAAAAGGATTTCCCGAAATTTTTCGTTTTTCTTCGTGTAATTGCCGCGCCCCAATTCTCGCTCGAAATCACGAAAAAAAAAATCAAACAGCTGGTGCCATTTCACGCGTATATACTATACTTGGCTGTCCATTCTGATTTTCCGGTAAAACTGTTCTCTTCGTGGTCTTATACAGATTCAAAGTGGTTAGGTTGTAGGTTTTGAATCGGGTCAGTGAGCTTGCCTGATTTAGAAATAAGGATTACGGTGCATAGATTCCACATCTCGGGTAGCCGTCTCATTTCCCACGCTTGGGAGAAACCATTCAAGTAGTAACTGTCTTTTCTTTGTCTAGCAAGTTATTGAGGACCGTAATTGTGGTCTTTTCTGAAACCGGCACGGTGTTCCCCGCCCAAGTCAGAGCCGCCCTTAGTTCACCCACGTTAAATGGTGAGTTTGCTGGGGACGGATGCTCGAGTTCGGCAATCGGGTGTGTGTACCGTTGTTGCAGCTCTTCCGCTGCGGGAAGATGTGTTTAGTTTCAGCAAGTTACTCTTCAGTAATCTCGAGCATGGTAATAATATTTTGGCGCGTGCTCTTGTTTATTTTCTTGGCAGACGTCCCTTTGTATGGCCACCACATTCTCTTGAGGCGAGCCTTTCGTTGACCGAGTTGCTGTGCCATCTCCCGATATGCTGGTTGAGCGCCTCC